TATATATATATATTCCAAAAAATCTACATTTTTAATAAACTAATTATAAAACTTAAACCACTCATTAATTTGGGAAATTTATATAAATACCACACAATTCTTACATGTAAATATCATTCACCAAAATTTTAATCTTCTTAAATAACAACAAAATCTATAAGATTACTTTGTCTAGTTATAATTGGATGGGCTTGTGACATTAAAGTTAAATTACATGCATACTACTCAATTATCCACAATGATAAAAAGAAGAAAGATTTACATGCATACCACTCAATTATTATGTATTTACATATCTAACACTCAAATTTTAACTCACCTATTCATGGAAAGGCATCTTAAAACAGCATTATGTTGGATCTGATATGTAATATCCAAGTGGTATAAAGGTAAAAATTAAAATTTGACTATTAAATATATAAACACAAAAAGAATTGGGTGGCATGCACGTAAATGACCGAAATAATAATAATAATAATAATAATAATAACCTCGTTATAGACCCGCTCCTGCGCGGCCTGATCAATGACAAGATGCATCATGGCCCATTCAATGGCGGTGGCGCTGGTATCCGTCCCCGCACTCATCACCTCCGAACACAGCGTCACCAGCTCCTCATCCCCCAACCTCCCCTTCCCTTCCACCTCCCTCCCCAGCAACGAATCAACATACGCCTCCCCAACCCGCCCTCACCAGAGGCAGCATACACTCCATCTGCCTCTCCCTCAGCCTCCTCGCCTCCCTCATCTGCCCCCTAAACACCGGCGTCAGCGCCGGCAAAAAATCCGCCAACTTTGGCGTCGTCATCATCATTATATCCTTCAACACCTCCTCTATCTCCCTCACCTTCTCCTCCCCCACCTTCGCCCCGAAGCAAATGCACGCCAGTATGCTGCAGATCGTCAGCCGGCAATGCGGCATCAGATTCACCACCGGCCGCGCGGCGCTCAGTCGGCTGAGGTGGAGCCGGAGGGCCCAATCCCGCACCCAAGAGAAGGACCGCACGCGCGCGGGGGAGACGATTTCGGACACGAGGTTGCGGCGGAGGGTGCGCCAGAGGGGCCCGTAGGGGGCGGAATTGACAGTGCATTTGCCGGAGCTGAAGAGGAGGCGGGTAGGGGAGTCGGGAGGGCGGGAGGAGAAGGTGGGGCCACGGCGGATGAGGGCGTCGTGGATGAGGTCGGAGGAGGAGATTATGATGAGTGTGCGCTGGCCCATGCGGAGGGTAAAGATGGGGCCGTAGGTGCGGCGGAGGTCGCGGACGATGTACATGAAGGGGCGGTTTTGGAGGACGATTTGGAAGAGGTTGCCGACGACGGGCCAGCCGCGGGGGCCGGGAGGAAGGTCGGAGGAGGGGGAGGAGCAGTGGTGCCACCAGGCGGCGGCGAGGGCGAGGGCTGTGAGGATGTAGAGGAAGTCGATGAGATCCATTGGGAATGGATGGAGGTCTACGAGTGTAGAGATTGGAGGGACTGGTTTTTATATAAGGAGTATGTTTGGAGGTGGTGAGGGAAAGTTGATGCTTTTCAAATTTTTATTTTATATAAAATGGTATTTAAGTTGGTTAAAAGAAGTAAGTTTTAATTAATATGATTAAAATTCGGTTAATTTTAATTTGAAGTTAATTAAATTTAATAGCTTTAAAACTTAATATAAATTAATTAATTAATTAATTAAGAAGGATATATAGCTTAGTAGCTCGATTAGGGTGGTTGGGGATTAGGATATATGCATGATCATCAATTAATAATTCAAAGATGTTTTGTAATTATATATAACATGGAAAAATGGCATGTTAAATTTCATATGTTTTTTGTTTTTTCATTTTTAATAAATCATGATTTCGTTAACACATATTTTGTATAAATTACATTTTTAAAATAATTAAAGGATAAAATATTTCAAAATTAGAAGAGATTAAAAAAAGGAACATTTACGTATATAACCCCAAAGTTCTATTTATTTACATATCTAGCATCTAAATTTTACTTTTTATATTTATACCGCCCAAATTTTTTTTACCAAAATATTTAAATGAAATACATAGATAAGGTGGCATACATGTATCTAAAAATACAAACATTTGAGAGGTATATATATGCAAATATTTAAAAAACTAGGGAGTTGGAAATAAATTGAATTGAGTACTTATTATTAAAATATTTAATTTTTTCATGGTGAGTTGGAAGGAAATGGAGGCAGTGAATGCGCAGTTAATATTTGGGGGAGAGAGTGGTTGAGGTTGGGTCGGTTATAAGATGAGGGCAGCGTAAAGGGTGGGGTTGAGGCAGTCAGTGGTGAGTCATAAAGAGGGGTTATTAACCAAACCTTTGTCCTATGTCGTCCACATCTCCCTTCGAAGTCAATTATATTCTTTATTCATTTCATTATTATGACAATATATTATAATCATTTTTCAATTTTTAGTACATTTAGGATGCCATGTTGTTTTCATTTTCTATTTAATGATATCTTGAAGGACTTTTTAGCAAGAAGTTTTTCCAACTCAAATTAAAAGTCAAACATGACTCTTGTCTTTGCAAAATTAAACTAAAGACATCAAAATTGATCAAATTCGAGTCAGATGAAGCTCGGATCAAGCCATTATATGAATAGGAAGATTCAGGTGGCTAGTTGAAAGATCGAACATATTCAAAATCTAACAAGTTTATAGCTGAATCGAACATCTCGATGAAACAAATTCAATAATTCCAAAATCATTATGTACTGTCATTACTAAGACACACAAATATCCACAAAAAAATGTCAAATGGAGTTGATCTCTCCGAGTCATTTGAGGAAGTAGTTCAGATTCTTTCATTATTTGAAGGAAGACCTCTCTAAGACTATATAAATAGAACTATATGCCCCTTCATGAAAGGGAACTAAGAGCTCGACCACAAGCTGGACAAGGAGAATGAGCTGACTTCCAGTGGAGTTTCGGTCAAAAGATCCGATGAAGGCTTTTCGCTCAAGTAGTCGAAGATGTCCGTCAACCACCGCTTGCCAACTATCGTCAACCACATTAGGTCGTCCCTTACTAGTTGCAACAAAGCCCCTTACAAATTCACGAAATATGCAGTGAAGTAACGAACCACCATGCATAGTCACGATGTACACTGCAGAGTAAATAAACACCGTGCAAAATCAAGACTTACATTGATGAGTAACGAAACACCATGTGGAGTAAGGACCAATGTCGTACAATAACAAGATATCGCTATAGAGCTGCGCATGATCTTGAACACTGTGCAATGATGCACTTTGAAGATGGTGCACCAAAGTTTCACCGACTAATCCCAATCGCAAACGCGCTTGATCTTTCTATGATGAATTCTTCTGTATACAACCTCAAAGAACTGTGTAACTCTTTCTCGTCTGTGAGATAAACACTAGTGCATATACTTTTAAACTTATAGTAGATTGCTCTGACTTTGATATGCACTGCACTTTTTCCTCTTTTTAGATTTTTCACGCAAAAAAATTGTATTATCTCTACATGTCATTTCAATTACTTGTGTGTGTGTTCGACTTTGCTGCAACGCTAATATACTAAATAATTATTATACCATCATGACTTTTCCGTTACACAATGACTGTCATTGATTCTGTAGAACTTAAATACACATTTTCACATATAAGTATTTAATACAATGTAAATAAAAAAAATATTAGGCCTTAGATATGTAAATAAATAATAATTTTCAATTATCAGGTCTGTTTGTGAATTTCCTTTTTATATTATATTTTCGGTAATATAAGAAAGGGGACTTTGAAAATTTATTTTGTTTGCGACAAGTGTTGGGACAAAAATTGAAAATATAATTTTATTATGAGAGGAATGAAAGAAAATAAGAAAAAGAAATAATAGTAAATGAAAACACTAATTGTCTGAGAATAGAACCAGTAATATGCTACAGAAGGGGGCTAATCATTTTAATAAGAACGTTACAATTATTTATGAGTCATTGCACATGTACATATTTGTCACCGAAGCAAACATAGTTTGACCTTGTAACTGCCGTTGGCGCCGTTCTATTTAATTGTCATTGGGACTGTTTCGTATTTGTAACTACTTCGCTTGGTCATATGGCATTCGTTTTGCCGGCTAAAGGTCATTCGATCAATTGAGCGATCTTTGGACGTCTTGTCTGAAGGGATCCATTATGGAGACTCATTGTTCTTTGGAAGAATTATTCCATCAAACAAAGAGTGTGTTTTCGTAATATAATAGACAGCATCGCTTCGGTTGATTAGACTATAAAAAAGGAGCCCCCTTTAGGCGAGTGTTGATCTTGTGAACGTCATTGTGTCGGTCCAGTTGTTATTGGTATAGGTGCACGACATTCCTTGGCTTCGTTGGCTAACAATTTGGTCGACTAGAATGATATTCGATGGCTCGATCTTTTGCGCTCTCTTATGTGAGCTGTTAGATTTTCTCAAGATTTTAATATTTGAGTCAGAATTTGAAAAATGATAAAAGAAATGGGTTGATTTGTAAATAGCAAGTTTGGAGTGGTCTGTATGTAATTTCCCCATTTAATTTTAGCAGACTATCGTCCAGTGCCATGCAAAGTGGCGTGGGCCAATAAGCTAGGAGATAGATTATTGGCCTTACAACATATCATAGATGCTAATTAATCAAATAATTACACCCTATCCAAAGTTTATTATTTAATTCCAAATAATAAATATTAGCCTCGAATGAAATCTTGCTTCTTTCATATTATTACGAATTGAACCCATGCTAAAGGAAACCCATAAATGCTTTAATTAAATATATTCAAGTGTTTTTATTCAATTTTAAAGGCTTTATATCCCATGCAATAATAATATATAAATAAGTTTTTTTTTAAAAAAAATTCTGAAATCTAAACAAAATATAAGTAACTAGACATCATCTTTGAATCACAGTCATTCAACCATCACTCGATCACTGTCATTCAACCGTCATTATTTTACTATCATCACTCAATCAATGACATTCAATCATCATTATTTAACTAGACATCTTGTATCATTCTCTTAACCCTTCAATTATCTTTTGAATATCATCATTTGACTGTCTTAATCTAAATAATGTCATTTGACTATCACAGTCTAACTGCAATAATACAATTTATCTATACACAATTATCTAAACATCATCTTCGAATCGTCATCATTCATTTATCATCATTTGACCAATATCATCTAATTGTCGTCAGAATCACCATCATCTAATCATTATCCTCCAATAGCCGTCATTTTTTATTACACAATCATAGTTGTTTAATTAACATCGACAGACTAAATTATTGTCATCAAACTGTCAGCTTATGATGATTATAACTCAATAAAGAATAAGTACATATAATATCACTTAGTCATTAAATAATTTTTTTACATTTTATTATAAAAAAAAAAGGCTAGTGGCATTAAAATTATTTAATAGTTTGATGAATTTCAAAATAGTAATAATAATAATAAAGTGATTGTTAGTTATATCATACGGCTTCTGGATAGAATTATAATTTCGCTTTCTTGATTTCCTCACTTATCCCATGAAACATATACAAAGTATTTAGTTTGGAGATAAATAGATCAAATTTATTTTTAAGTATGCTAGTGGATTTATATTTTGTCTTAAATTAATTTTTAAATTGAAAAATCTTTTTAGTCTAAATTCACCCAAATTTTTTACTCTAAATTTGCCAGCAAAGCACATGCATCAACACTTTTTGAGAGATACAAAAAAGGGGTTAAATGCATGAGCTAGAACTGGGGTGGATACATCAGTTGTTTTAGACCCCAGAGAACATTATTATTATTTTTTTTGAAAGTTGAAATCGATATTTGGTCTAGTGGGCATCAAATATTGATTCCCCCAAATGATTGAAAATCCTGGTGTGTTTACTCCTGATTTGAAGAGCCCACGCCACGTGATTCGAACCTCCAACCCGAGGAACTTATGCCAGAGTCCGCACCAATGAGTCAGGTCATTCGCACCAGAGAACATATATATAAATGAATCTCTCACTTTTTTTCTTTAGTGTATATATTATATAAGCAAACAAATAAATAATTAAGATATAAATCAATCAAGATATAGTAAATCTATTAAATCGTAAAAGTTATTTGGTATTAAAAATGTTAAATTCAGTTAAATCAGAAATAAATTATTTGGCTACTTATACTAGAAATTAAATACTCATATGATTTACCATCTTATTGTATTGACGTTGCATATATATTCACTTTAATTAGACAAATTTAATTATAGTTAATATAATTAAATATCTCGACTATTTATTTTTTTTAGTGATTTATTGAGCTAATTAAACAATAACTTATATTGTGAAAAATTAAATAAAATTTTTTAAAAATAATACTTTAGATATAATTTTTTTAATAAACCCTATAATTTTAATATTAATATTAAATTAATTACTTGATTAACAAATAAAATATATATTTATAGT